ATGGAAGAAGAGAAAGGTCAAGAACAGGAATGAAAGCTGAAGAAGAAAAAGCTGCCTGGCTTTACCTTGCAGACAGCTGGGCATACCATAAGCTATAGTAATTGAGATATTGGAGTGTAAGTGCAGGGATAGACAAACACAGAAAGGCCCCGAAATGCACTCATTGCTTTACTGGAGACATGGCAGATTGTTGGATAGAGGATGGATTTTTCAGTAATTGGTGTTGCCTATGGATTAAAAAGTGGCCCTGGTGGCACAACTGTCAAAGCCTTCAGCCTTCCATATGATTTACATCAAAACAAAAATCCTCACAACTGGATCAATAAGCAGCATCGTGAGAAATGGATAAAAGATTGAAGTTGTCAAGGATTTCATTTCACTTGAATCCACAATCAAAGGCAATGAAAGCAGCAGCCAAGAAATCAAATGCTGTATTGCACTGGGAAAATCTGCAGCAGAAGATGTTTTGAAAGTATTAGGAAAGCGAAGAGGTCATTTTGAGAACAAACGTGAGTCAGACACAAGCTGCAATAGTCTCAATCACTTCATGTGCATGTGAAAGTGGAACGTGCTCAAGGAAGAATGGGTGTCTTTGAATTACGGTGTTGGTAAGGAATATTGAGGACACCATGGAATGCTATAAGAACCAACAACTCCATCTTTGAGATATGACAGCCAGAATGCTCCGTCAATAGGAGGATGCTGGGACTTTATCTCACGTGCTTTGGATATGTTATCGATCAGGAGGGACCAGTCCTGAAGAGGACATCATACTTGGTCAAACAGACGGTTGTGCAGAGGAGGAAAGCCCTCCATGAGCTGGCTTGATACAGTGGCTGCACCCACGAGCTCCAATGTAGCAACAATGACTATGAGAACGGCGTCGGACTGGGCAATGTTCTGTTCCATTGTGCACAGGGATGCTATGAGTGGCGACCAACTTGACAGCACTCAGCAGCTGCAGAAGCACACCCACCCGCAAACATGAGGGAGTGCAGAGAAAGCAAGGCACAAAGACTTACACTGGACTTTGATTTACACATGTAACATTCAAAAATAGGCCACATCAGACAAAAGATAGTTTAGAAATATATTTAGAGTTGGAAAACTCACAAGGAAAAGACAGAGAATAAAGACCAGAAAATCCAGGGTACTGGCTATCTCTGGGGTGAGAGAGGACATGTCCTTGGGGAAGCCCACTGGGGGTTATTGACAAGGTTCTATTTATTTGACAATTAGGTGTGGGTGCATACGTATTCACTTAATTAAGCTTTACACGTATCACTTGTATGTTTTTCTGGTTTCTAGTTGATATACAGTCCACAGTAAAAAAAAAAAAATTAAAGGAAGAAATCACAAGGCAATGGTAAAACCACTCTGGATAATGTCCACGCTTTGATGACCTGAAATGTTTGTCTCTGCTTATTGTTAAAGAAACCAACTTCACTGTAACCCAGAAAAGAGAGACGCTGAATTTTTCCAAGTTTCCAATTGTTTTTCCTGCTAATCTTGTGAGAGACTGCACTTACTCCTCGGAGAATCTAAACTCCGCAGGCTAAAGTCACTAAAACTCCTAGCCCTGGAGTCGATTCTGACTCATGGTGACCCTACAGGACAGAGTGGAACTGCCCCTGTGAGTTTCTGAGACCCTAACTCTATGGGAGTAAAAAGCCCTCAGAGCGGCTTGTGGTTTTGAAAATATTTTCTCTTTGACTCATTGGTCCAATACCTTGCTTGCCTATTGCTTGCACAGTCCCCCTGCCTAGAGCCCACAGGCTCATAGATTCGAATGCAAGCCTTCAGTGGGTTGAGCTTGGAGGCACACACTTCTACCCTGAGAGTCTTTTGCACCCCAACCCCAACTCCAGCTCACAGATCTGCCCACCCTTCACATTTCTTCCTCAAAGCCTCTCTCTGCTCCAAGTGCCACTCGGATCCTCTCTGGTTCCTCTCAATTTTGCCCATCCTTGCATCTTTATGAGTTTGTTGATCAGCCTCACTGGTCTTTGTCGCATGTGCTTTGGTTTCATTTTCTTTGGAGCAATTTAAAGAGCCATTCGATGAATGATGCTCAGTGGAAAAAGAAATGTCAGGGTGTGTCTGCTGTGCCAGGGCCCATTTAGTCCCCCACCCTCCCAGGGGGCTTCCCACCAGTGATGGTTGTTTCTGTTGGTAGCTGCTGTGGAGATATCTGCAGTGTTGAACCTTGTTCAGCATCAAAGCAGCATACAGGCTGACTGTGGGCATGATGTGCCTGGTCAGAACTCCACCATGGGTCTCCCACATGGAAGTCAAGAATTCTACCACAGAACCATGGCTACCTCTGCAGGCCCTACCACGACCCCCACCCCCACCACCAGGCCCATCTATTCACACTGGCCTGAGCAAATGATGTGTCCTAGCACCATGCTGACTGGGGAATTTCCCCCAGAGAGGAGGAGAACAGGAACACTTCTTTCACAGCTGCAGAGACCTGGGGCCTCTGGAGACCTCGGGTCTCCCCTCTGGGCCCAGTTGCATGTCTCATGGGAGCAGAGCTTACTCTTCTGACCACAAGGCATGCTGGCTGCTGGCTGGTCAGGGGGCAGCAAGCTGAGCTGGAGAGACAGCAGGTGATGCGGACCGCTGGAGGAGAGAGGACAAGAGGCTGTGAGACCCCTTGGCAGGGAGATGCCAGCCTGGCTTCAAGAAGGCCCCTCTGCAGGCTTCCTGGAGGGCCCTGCTCTAGGCTCTGCAGGCTCCCTTCTGCTTGGCTTGCTGCTCCCCCACCCCACCCCCTCCCAACCCTGGGGAGGGCATCAGAGTGCCCCAGCAGCTGCAGTCAGTCTCCCAGCCTGGGCATAGTGCAGCTGACAGCTAGAGCTGGCAGCGGAGACCCCTCTGTTCATATTCAGGACCACCGTACCAACTGCTTGGAGGGCTCAAGCCTCCTTTTCTCTCCTGGGCTGAAGGGGACACCCCAGAGCTGCCTGAGACCCACGGGAAGGGCATGAATGGCTCCCCAGTCCCCCCATCCCTATCAGAGACACCCAGTGCTGACAGCTCTGTTGGGGGAGGCTTCTCTGTCCTGGGCTGGTTGTACTCTTCAGTCCTCATTCAGTCATGGTTTCTGTGTGTGTGTGGGGGAGGGGACACCCACCTTTACTGGCCTGAGGTTCTTCCCCTCAGACGAAGGCCTTCAAAAGTCTGTCGTCCTTGAAAAAGAGAGCTCACATCCGCTCAACATCATGCCTGAGGTTTCCCAGACTGACAAGCAGGGGAGGGGCCCGATGTTCTGCCTTCTTCTCTTTTCACAGGTGGCTGATACCCTCAGTCCACACAGAGGGGCCTCCCTGTGTCTCCCTCGGTCTCCTCTTGCTGCCACCTGGGGCTGCCCAACGTATTCCCAAACCCTCAACTCTGTGAGACCCTCAGGGTGGAAATGTGAAGGCAGCTCATCTGAGAGCGACTCTGAGGTTCCCGGGAAGAGAGAATGTGTGGGGCCCTCTGAGGAACCTTGACTTCAGAGTCCCTGGTTTTCTCAGACCTCAAACTGGGTTTCCCCCTGGATGCTTGTAAGGCCTGGGCCTCTTCCTACTGTAAAATGGGAGGCACTCTCACTAGACCGAAGCTCTCCCCTCCCTGAGCTCCTCCAGGCAGAAACAAGGGAGCTCCTCAGCTGGTCCTCTCCAGTCGGGACCTCCCAGGGCAGAAGGCCTTTGTGGGGCCTCCTCCATTCTAGGGCAGATGGTTCTTTCATTCCGGGTTCTCCCCCTGACACCCTATCACCTTGGCCCCACAAAGGGTTTGGAGCCCTCCCTCCTGGGTCTCTACTCTGCTGACTTGAGGCTGCATCTCTCAAATCCATGTCTTTGCCTTCCTGGACCTCCAAGTTAGAAGTCATGGTGAGCTACATCCTGTCCCCTCTTTGGGTCCTCTAAAGGCAGATAGCCTGGGTGGGGTGCTACGAGACTCCGCTAGGCTGCCTGGGTCCTTCCTCCCCCTCCACCCGGGATTGTCACCTTGAGATCTGCCAGAGGCTCCAACTCCTCCCTCTTCTGACCCAAGGCTGCCCCAACTTTGCCAACTGCTGTGTAGCTGGCATAGAATCATGATAACCCCATAGCTGATTTGGGGAGTACACTTTGCCAGGCCTTTCGTCCAAAGTACTTCTGGTTAGACTCAAAACACCCACTTTTCTACTAGCAGCCAAGTGTGTTAATCATTTGCACCCCCCAGGGGCTCCAAGTTACCATTACCTCCCACTGAGGCCTTACAGTGCCCCCAGGTCCCAATGTACCTTGTCTCAGGGCATTTGCACTTGACTGTGCTCCTTTAGCCTGGTCCTCCCTCCAGCCCCTGCTTTTACCTGGCCTGGAGTGTGGGTCTCTCCAGCTTACCTACAGAAGGGCTATTCATCAACTGACGCTCCGTGGATGTGACTGAATGGCTTTTATCCAGACTAACTGGAAGCCCTCCACATAGCAGATATTCAATTAACAGTCGGAAAACAAAAGAGCCAATGAACAAGATGTTTCAGCCACTTGAACTTTATTTCTCTAACATTCTTGAACAAGGTAACTTTACTAAAACTAGACTCAACGGAATAAACCACAAACAGATCACCTTTGAATTGTTTTTGCTTTTTGACTTGCTTTTTTAAACATCTAATTACTTATTTTCTATTTTACTATCGATTTAAGATCTCTTATCTATTTACTTATTACCTATCAAATTGTTCCCAAGAAAACCCCCGTTCTGCTACCACATTCTCATTTGAAACCACACACACCAAAAAAAAAAAGGTGCTCCATTTGTTTGGCAAAACACACAAAAATTACTCTTAAAGCCTATAGACATTCATGGTATTAAAAGAAAAACTTGCTTTGCTTTGCAAAAGGAAACTATAAACCTCTAGGTTACTTATATTTAAGAGAAACATAAAGAAGATATGTATCATACTCCTTCCTCCAGCCCTGCCTTGCCCTCCACTGCTGAGAAGGTTAACAAGCCCTCAGACATCAATCAACGATGGGGGAGATATTGGCCTCGGCCTGGGTCTCGGCCTTGGCCTCGGCCTCGGCCTGGGTCTCGGCCTCGGCCTGGGCCTCGGCCTTGGCCTTAGCCTGGGTATGAATCTCAGTGGTGGCTGGAGGATCATTCTCAGCTACATCGGTGATCTTGGTGTTCTCCAGCTCTTCTCGCAGCGCTTCTTCATAGTGGGATGTGAAGGCAGTGGGTGTACACCCATGGATCCTGGCCAAAAACTTGAGGACTTTCAGCTTGCTGGTTTCAGCGTGGGCCCTGGGACCCCACAGGTATTCGTAGCGTGGAGGATTGGTTTTGGGCACTTGGACGTACTGCAGATACTCTTCCTGCACGTAATCTATCATGGCCTTCTGGGGATCCCCAAAGATGTGGTGCTGCTTCCCCTCGTAGAGCCCCAGCATATTCAGGAATTCCCAGATCTCTTTCTCACTGGAGCGGCTGCCATTCATGAAGATCAAGCCCAGGATAGGCATCAGGAGGCCGATCTTTGTAAACTCTTTTTCAAGAGCCATAGGAGCTTTGATGGGCTTCAGAACCTTGTGGGTCAGAGTATAGGACTGACCCCTGGGGCTGACTTCCTTCAGGTCAAGGCCATACACTAGCTCCAGGCGCTCAGAGGCTCTCTGCAGTATCTCAGGGAAGCTCTTCCGGTGCTTTCTAGTGATCAGCCTCTGTAGGTCTGCCTTTATGATGGGCTCGTTCATCTTGAACTTGCGCAGCAGGTATTGCACCAGCAAGTTTTCTTTCCTGGTGAGAAGGTCTCCGTGGGGGTTCTCGGTGGAGGGTGAGGCCTTCGAGGTACTGGGCTTTTCATTATCTTGGATCTCAATATTTTTTTTCCCTCTTGGGTGGGAGTGAGCTGCACGGCCCTTGACCTGTGTGCTGGCCTTGGAAGCTTTCTGAGGAGCCTGGGGTTTTCCAGCAGCAGGGGAGCCCTGGCTAGTACCCTCACCAGCAGAAAGGGTGGAAGGCTCCGCAGCTTCAGACACCTGAGCCTCCTGGGGCTCCTGAGTCTGCTCCTGGGCCTGGCGACGTTTCTCACGAGAGCGGAGCTTACTCTTCTGACCACGAGGCATGCTGGCTGCTGGCTGGTCAGGGGGCAGCAGGCTGAGCTGGAGAGACAGCGGGTGATGCGGACCGCTGGAGGAGAGAGGACAAGAGGCTGTGAGACCCCTTGGCAGGGAGATGCCAGCCTGGCTTCAAGAAGGCCCCATCTGCAGGCTTCCTGGAGGGCCCTGCTCTACGCTCCGCAGGCTCCCTTCTGCTTGGCTTGCTGCTCCCCCACCCCACCCCCTCCCAACCCTGGGGAGGGCATCAGAGTGCCCCTGCAGCTGCAGTCAGTCTCCCAGCCTGGGCATAGTGCAGCTGACAGCCGGAGCTGGCAGCGGAGACCCTCTGTTCATATTCAGGACCACCGTACCAACTGCTTGGAGGGCTTAGGCCTCGCCTCCTTTTCTCTCCTGTGCTGAACAGGACACACCTCAGCTGCCTGGGACCCAGCAGGAAGGACGTGAAAGGCGCCACCGTCCCCTCCCCCACCTCCCTACCAGAGACGCAGACAACTCGGTGGCGGGGTTCGCTCTTGAGCGTATTGGGGTCTTCAGATCGCCATTCTAAGTTCCACCATAGGTCGACGCATCCCTACCCCGACAAGGACCCTCCCATCTCGGTTCTCCTCGAGCCTCGGCCCTACCTCGGTTCTACTCAAGCCTCGGCCCGACCTCGGGCCTAGGAGGCAGGAGTGGAGCCCAGTTAGCGGTTTGGGTCCTCAGCCGGACTCCGGCTAGACCCACCTCTCCCTGACCCGGGCCCCTTTTACCGAGGCCGAGGGGACGTTCACGGTGGGCATTGTCCCTTCAATCCGAATTCAGCCCTTACCTTTACTCTCTGACCAGGCCTGGGAATAGTCCAACCTCAGCTCACCGGAGGCCGGACCCCTCTCTGGCGCCGAGGCGGAAGTGTGATGAGTAACTTCCGGCCAAGGCAATGGCAGGGGCAACACCATTTAAGGCCCCGCCCCCTTACTTTTCCACTGGGAGATTTGAATTCATCTCTCAACCTCTTTGATCCCATCAGGCTCAGGACCCAGCCCCCTTACTTTTCCACTGGGAGATTTGAATTCATCTCTCAACCTCTTTGATCCCATCAGGCTCAGGCCCCAACCCTTACTTCCTGAACATAGAGCGAAGCTCCTGTCCCAGAGCTGTGTGCCGCTCTGAGCCTTGTAGCAGTACCGCAGGGGTGCCGCTCTTGGGGTCCCCTCTTTGGGAAAGAACCCCTTTAGTAACATCCATAGCCCTTACCTGTTGCTGTTATCAGGTGCAGTCAAGTTGATTTTGACTCATATCAACTATGGACAACAGATCCAAACATGGGTCAGTCTTGCATGGTGATTATCTCAGAGCCCACTATTAACCTTGCAGCCCCTGTGTCAATCCATCTCCTTTTTTTAAATCATTTTACGGGGGGCGCTAACAGCTCTTCTGACAATCCACCCATTCATTGTGTCAAGCACATTTGTATATAGGTTGCCACCAACCTTTCCAAAACATTTTCTTTCTACTTGAGCCCTTGGTATCAGCTCCTCTCCCCGCCCCTTCCCACCTTCGTGACCCCTTGAGAAATTATAAATTATTTTTATTTTCATATTTTACACCGTCCACTGTCTCCCATTACCCACGTTTCTGTTGTTAGTCCCACTGGGTAGGAGCTGTTAAACGTCGATCATTGTGATTAGTTTCCCCTTTCTCGCTCTTCTTCCCCCACCTCCCCCCTACCCTCATGTATCGCTAATCTCATTACTGTTCCTGAGTGGTTTATCTGTCCTGGGTTTCAGTCATCTTTTTCACTATCACTATCCTTTACCAAGCATGAAGACCTTTTCCAGGGACTGGTCTCTCCTGATAACATGTCCAAAGTATGTCAGACCCAGTCTCACCATCCTCACTTCTTTTTTTATTGCATTTTTATTGGGATCTACTTCACATATCATATAACTTAATCATTCAGTTGACATTGAAAAGATTGGTTAAATCATCACCATAATAAATTTCAGAACATTTTCTTGTACTCCTTATCATGAGCTCCCTCATTTCACCCCATCCTTTCTTGCCATGCCCCTAGGCAATGATCAATCCAGTTACAATCTCCACAGATCTCCCTATCCTAGCCTAGGCTTCATAGACCGAAAAGCATACAAAAAAGCAAACAGGAAACCATCAAGCAAGCAAACAACAGCAAACTCGAATCAACATTGACTAGACAAAATGTAGAAAACTCCCATTCTGCTTTACACAATTGATGTGTGTATGGATTGTGATAAGAGTTGTATGAGCCCCTAATAAAATGATTTAAAAAAAAAGAAAACTCCCATTCAAAAAGAAAGCACAAAATACTAAAAACCGAATTTGGTAGTTCCTCGCAGTTGCCTTGCCCTTGGTCACTCCCTACCAGTCCTACCATCCCCTCCCTACCATTGGTTTTGAACCATTTGTTGTTCC